TCTTGACTACCAGGCTATCCTCTGCCAAAACAAGAAAAAAGCAGCATCATCTTCACCTTTCTGGAGCATTTCCCAGCCTGAGGAACACGCATGTCTCATGCTCCGAGTGTGTGTGTCGCCATCAGCACAGAGGAAGGGTTTCCCAAAGGAGCATTTTGCTGGCCCTGCCACAGTGCTGAGGATGCAGGGTCTAAAGCTGGTCATTGACATAGCACCAGCACTTCCTCTGGGCATCCTGAATCCCTAAAGCAACATCACAAGCTTGTCTTGTGCCTGCTGTCCCTCAGCATAGCCCGTACCCCACTGTGAGCTTCTGCACACCCCCTGGTACTTTGTTGGCACCCGTTTTAAACTTTGAAGGCCAGTGCAAGAGGGGAACCACAGCATTCTTCCATGGAGGGCACTTGGACCAGGTTTTTAGATGAAAAGTTTTTAGGATGTGGGTGATCTCGTGTTTCTTGCCATGAGTGGTCTCCCAGCTGGCTCAGAGTAACTCCCATCTGTCTCATAGAGGTTAATTGCATTTTAGATGCTTTTGGCCACATGAAAACTAAAGACAATGGCAATTTCTGATCCCAGTATGTGTAACGAGGGGGAATCAACTCTCAGTCGCTGCCACACCGTGGCATCAGCACAAGAGACACGTACGCTGGATTTATGTGCATCCTCTGCCTCGGAGCAGGACCTGCCTGTGGCACCGCTCCACGTCGAAAGGAAATCACAGCTTATAATATTCAGCTGGGTACTATAACACCCACCCACCCCAGGTTTAATATTAGAACTATTTTTCACATTGAAACCGAAATAGTACAAAATATGGGCTTGCTGTAATTGTTGTTAGATTATGTGTCACCCTGATAAGATGTAACAAATATTTTCCTACACAGCAGGGCCCGTTTCCCTGCAAGTAATGGATGGAGAAACTTCTCACAGTGTGCAGGCAATCGGTCGTAAAAACTTCGCTTAGAAGATTAATGCATTAAGTGAAGCCTTTGTGGAAAATGGGAAGAAAAGAATTAAAATAATCATTTGTTCTTTCAACATTTAACATTAATAACCAAATTTATTTGGTGGGAATGTTCCTTGCTGTAAGTGCCTTCCCACTTAGAGCAGTTTTAGGGGCAGTTTTGTGTCAAATAAGTGTTTCTACTTTTCTTAAAGATCCTTCATCAGTAGCTACTGCGTAGGGTGCAGTGATTCTTTCAAGAGAACTATTTTTATCGGTAATATGAAAGACTGTTTTCATGGGCAAAGCTTTGACACCAATAAGTCTGCTGGACGTCACTTAATAGGCTAGATAAACCTTCGCTCACCATTTAGCGTGGGATTTTCCCTTTCTATCACAGCTTTACGTCTTTGTAGACACATAATGGCTGTTACAGAGATGGCACCCTCGGGAGAGAGCTCTCCAGAACCGTGTGTGGTCAGGGAGGAGGCAGAGGCTTATTAGCTGCTGTATGAACATTAGTGTGCAGAACAGAAAAGCCAGACCCTTCTTGTCCCGAGCTGATTTGCACAGAGTCAAGTCCTTCAGTAGCAGGAGCAAGGTTCAGGAGCACATCAGTAGGTAACCACCACCCCTCCTGAGCACACCCTGCACCTCATCCTGCTGTTGTCCATTAGAAGGGTTCTTGCTCCTTTCTGGGGATTGTTTGGTACCAGCTACCACTCTGCTGCAGAGCAGTGGCTATGGCTAACGTGGCAGACGTAAGCATGGCCTTACATGATAAAGGAATGATTTTTTTTTATTGTGTGGGTTTTTTTTTTTTAATTGCTCAAGGTTTAAGGAAAAATGCCAATTTGGATTGAATGCTGCTGCTTGCTGCCATGTGTATTTTGAGATCTTGTTTTCCTGAAACACACTTCTGTATCTGCAGTCCGTCTCAAGTGACGGGAACCATCAGTCATGAAGTCAGCTATGACACTGGGGTTGGACAGAACTGCTTATTTTCAGCATGTGGCACACAGTTCACTTCTTCCTCGGGCTTTCCTTGCTCTCTGAGGTCTGGTATCCAGCTTGAGTTTTACCAAGGATCACTTGTTTTACTCCTTGTAAGAACAGATATTTCTTCCTAGTTTTACAGAGCCTGAATTTTTATAAAGAACCTTTCGTAAGCAAAGAAATGGTTTGTTAAAGGAGAAAGGGAAGTTTCTGACCTTTCCTGCCAGTGGTAGGCAGTAGGAACAGTGGTCTTAAATTTCAGTATTCTATGAGGCACCACCCTTCACTGCCCCAGTAGGTCTTTTGCTGCTATGTAAACAGAGCCAAATTTAAAAACCAATGCCATCAAACATGATTAGGACTTTGAACTGCTCTGGCATTCAGAATTATTTAGGGCTTATTCAATTTTTTTTCTAAATTGATCAGTCAGATATTCCAGAAAACTCAAAGAAAAATGGTACTTATATTCTTGAATAACTAGACTCATCATTGCCAAGAAGGACTTTCAAACTACAACAGGGGAAAAAAAAAAAAGTTTTAATTTTGACCAAGCAGCAGCTTAATTCCCTGGGTCTTGTTCCATTGTGCCATAGCACTAAACCAGAACGTGCCATCCTGCTGCAGTAAAAAGAGGTTTTAGAAGTGCTGTGAAAATTAGACTGATGGTGTCATTTATCCACTTGGGAGTCAGGAAGAGAGAGTTTTTAGGTTTGAAAGCAGGATTGCTCCTCGGCCAAAAATATCCCCAGATAAACCAAAATTCATTCATTAAATATCTCTGTCACCACTGCTTAGTTGCAGATGCAGAGAAAGGAGCAGACAGATTATTTAACGTACAAAAGCTAATTAGGGTTGGCTGACAAGAGTACTGAATTTTACTTTGAAGAATGGGACAGGTTTTTACATGACTGAGATGGTAGAATGTGATCAAACCATTATTAAATCCAAACCATGCAGCTTCCTTCCAGCTTTGCTTTTTTTTTTTTTTCCCCCCAGCAGTCTCTGCTGTCCAGCCCCTGTTTTTTGGAGCTAAAAAATCATTAGTATTTTCCACCAAGAGCACTTCAGTGCAAAGAAGAGACAAGCCCCTAAAGCATACAGGGCGAGTACAGAGGTTTTTACCAGCTGGCTTACTTCCCCAAAAAGACAATGACTAAGCTTATTATGTTAGTTTTAGAAGTCAGAATTCTACAATTTAATGAGTAAGCTTTGTTACGTTTGATACGTAGCAATTAAACCATATAAATGTATTTTATATAAAAATGCATGCTATGGCTCTATGATCATATTAGATTCTCTACCTACCAGGAACTCCCAGAAGAAAATCCCTTGGGAAGGGAAAAGGAGTAACAGAGATGATTTTTACCTTTTTATTTTTTTTTTTAAAGCAATTGCCAGTGTTTGCCTAATATAATGCTCCTGAGATTCTCCCAGCGAGAAGAAACAATGAGTTTCTGTGAGGGATTCATGGAAGGTATACTAGCTGTTTGTTTGGTACTTGTCAGAAAGCTCCTAATTCATGAATGTGGATTAAAATTTTTAATAAGCTAGAAACATTAATTGAAAACTTACCTTCTCCAGTTTGAAGCTGCTAAAAAGAGAAAGGGTATTTAAAACTGGGCTCCTGTGACAAGTTATTATTTCTTCCCTTCCCATCCTACCCTAAGAACTATTTTTAAATCACTAAACATTCTAATAAAGATTGTGAGGTTAGTTACTTTACAAAGCTACTTTTTTCTCGTAGTGCATCCATTTACATGGTTACATAGATCTCTATTTCAGTGTTACCAGGATCTTAATCTTTAAACCATTTATCCTCAGAGTGCTGTGGAGCAATCCATGCTTTACAAAACAAGGAAGCATACTTTGTGAACTAGAGACTACAGCCACGTTCATATGAAGTCTGTGCACAGCAGGGTTTCATTTTCAGCATGCAAATTTTTCCTAATCCTAGGTGATCAAGAAAATAGGGACAGAACATAGTGGAAAAAATAGCTAACCATGATGGAAAGCAATTTTTATTTAATCTGCACTAAGAAAACCCAAAAAAGCCTAAGTTACTCTGGAAGAAAGGCTTTAAATAGGGCCAAGATAATTACTACTATCTATTTCTGCATTCTCTGATCAAGTCTTCAGGAAATAAAACCCAAGACCTACAAAAAAGTAAACACTTTACAAAGATCCCACTACTACTTCTTTTCTTTGCTGTAGACCTATTTTTGTGTGGCAGATCCGCTTTACTCACATTTGGCTTTCTTAATTCTGGCTTGTTTTGACTGCTTCTTTAGGCAGGTCAACACTCAGGGCAAACACATGCAAGCTTCCAATATTCTTGAAATGTTTTATTATAGAACACTTCAGACAAACTTTGATTCAAAAACAAATGTTCTCAACTGTAAAAGGAAACTATTTTAAACAACATTCATAAAGAACATAGTCTGCTCTTAAGCATCAGCTTCAGTTGCAGCTCTTCTGTAATGAAATCCAAAGAGAAAACTGGTGGGCCAAGTGCTATTCATTCCATATATATGCTCGTAAAAGGAAGACTAAGATGTTACACAGACACCACAGAGCATCTTATTGGTGATAACGAGATAGGAATGCTGGCTAATAGGCCCTGAGAAAGCAGTCCAACATTTCAGTATTTTTTCTGTCCCAAAAGAGACAAACCATTAACATGTAACAGTAACTAAGCCAGACCTGGGTATAATGGTTAAAGCTACTTCAAAGCATCTAACATGATAAACTCTTCATTTCATGTACTTCTCCTGTTGATCAGCCAAGATTTTTGCTGAGGATTTGGCATCATAGAAAAGTTCATTTATTTCTTCAATATGCTCTTTCTCAATGCTGTCTTTCCCATTAGTCTTGGCAAGCACGTTAGCTGGGGTCAGTAACTGCACAGCATACCTGTGATCAAACAGAAATGGATGAATAATTACAATTCAGTGCATCCCAGTGAACTGGTATCTGTAGTGGTGGGAGATTTGTTAGGAAACACACAGCTCTACCAGCAGTACAAAAAGTCTGCAAGACCCTCCAGCACATACACTCCTTGAAGGAAGAAAGGGGCAGGTTACCACTCTTTTTTAATGTTAGCACTGTTTTTAACAGACCACATGACTGCATGAGAGAGGGTTGTCTCACTGCCAAGAGTGAGCCATCCTGCAGTGCTTCTAGACCCAGTCATGCTTAGGAGAAAAGCCAACTGCACTCAACTTACCTTAAGGTTGTCTTGGTACCAATTTCCCCTAAATGGTTTAGAGATTCTTCGCTAATATTAATTCCTTCTGTCTGAGCACGAAGTTTTATGATCTGTTGGGATGAATGAGTAAGTGAGGTACCAGCCCAAACAATTAGCATGGTAAACTACTCAGCTTAGTCTCTGGAAACTCTGTCAGCTTAGCAATGAGACAATGTGGAGGGTTAGCCCTGTGTAACTTATCACTAAACTGGAACCTGTAGAATTCTAAAGTCTTTGAATAGGCAAATATAATGTTGAAAAATTGATTATCACAAAAGGCAGGTAAAACAATGTGTCTGGACTACTAACCCTTCACAATAATTCTTCATAGTTAGCAAAGTCTTAGCTACTAATAAGCAGCAGAATATGAAAATTTATACAAGAAAATGGAAAAAGTATGCAGGAAGTAAGTGACAGTTTTCTGGACAGCTACACCAGTTAATTACTGAATTTTGCAGTGTATCACTGCTGCTACACAGTACAGCCCTCCAAAAAAGCCCTACAGAAAGCTATGCCCTTTCTTTAGCTCACAACACACTTTTTGTTCAATTGACAAGAAGATAGTAAAATAAATCAAAAGTTACTTTCTATGTTTCACCTATTTCTGCAAGAAGTAGAAGAAAAAAAAAAATCACTGAGAAGAATCTAATCTTTCAAGAACAGTCTCAGGCTTGTACCAGTTGAAGATCTTTACAAAGTTGGAGAGCAAGATATCACCAATAAGCCTGAGCATATAAAGCTGTAACGAAAGTGGCACAAGTCTCTCGGTAGGCTGTATTACCAGCTGAGTGATAAGGGGCAGACTGGATAATGATGTTGTGTTGTAGTGCTGAGATAACTCTGGAACTGCAAGCCTCATATAATACAGGTATTTTTCACTTTGTCAGCTTTGTAAACAAGATATCAAGAAGCACTCTTTTAAATTAAAGCCATAAAAATGCGCTAGGGGAGTCATGGTAAGGAAGAGAGTAAAAGAGAGGGGCTTGAAATGGCAGCAAGTTGCATTGAGATATTAATTCTGAATATTTGCAACACTGCTGCAAATTGCATTTGATGATTGGAGGGTTTTTTTTTCTATCTTTTAGATCACGTAAACATCACCTCCCCTTCATTCAAATACTGCTACTTTTTCCTTCCCCTGCTAGAAACAAAGTATCTTGAATGCCACATCTTCAATAACCTTTTTGGTTTTTTACAATAACTTCTTATTTTGTGACATGGCAGAACCTTGCTGAAGGACTGTGGCCCAAGCCATTAAGCCAGAAAATTGATATATAAGCAAGCTGCTATGAAATAGGGAAAAAAGTGTTTACCAGGTAAAATACACTAGGAAGAAGTCGTCCCAGCTATAACCACTGTATCTAACAGCAGGCATGTACACAAAAAAAGTTTGGTTACAACAATACCTGACTAGAATATGCACAAAAGTCAGTTTTCTCCCTGCTTTGGTTGCACTAAGGTAACAGTGGGTCTTGCTTTCAGAGCAGCACCGCACAATGGTGGTTCTATTTCGCCAACACAAAGAGAAATACTTTGAACTTGTTATGAACAAATTTTCAGTAGATACAGGGACAATTCCTGCGCTGTTAAACAAATCAGTTGTGAAAGGCCAGAGCAAAGTCTCATACAGAAAAAACAGCAGGGAAAACTTCTCCCTAACATGAAAGAAAAACGGGGGCAAAACAACAGAACTAAGTTTATGGACATCTTATCTTTAAGCCCCTTCAATTGTATTTACTTGGAAACTGAAGTTAAGTGTAATAGCTCCTGCTCTTTTCCCAAGAGAAGTCATTCAAAAGTCTTCCTTTAAGGGAAAATAAGATTATCTGACTATGGGAACATGATTTATGGGACATAATGTCTGGACTCTATTTTTAGCTTTAGGAAATGCTACTGTAAATGCTTCCTTTCTCTCACCCCTGGGGAGAGTGGAAATCACAGCACTTACCCAGCTCTTCTGAAAATCAACAGCTCAGAACAAGCTCTTGAAGGGTATTATCTGCGTGGTAATACAGGACACTAGGCAGGTATTAGGTGACTCAGGAGTACACACTTGTACTACCCTAACCACATGAAATCCACACAGAGTATAGGGAAGTCCAGACAACAGTCTTTTAAGTTAGTCATGCCTTAAAATTTGTTTTATATACAGGCAAAACATAATTGTATTATTAAATCACTGGGCTGCTTCCCCTGTGATCTATACCATAATGCTCTGAAGTGTCCTTTAAGGCTATAAAAAGACGGCTCAGGACAGCTGTATGTGAAAAGCTCCTCGAGGGCAGTGAAACGAAGCTTTGCCTCCACCTTTATATTCGATAAATGCCTCGGCTTCACCTTGGCACTTACCCAGCAGGAGGAGACCATTATCTCATGACAATGCTCTCCTCCATTGACACTATCTCTCACATAATACAATGAATTGACATGATAAACCCTAATGTCTCCTGGATTGTGTCACTTCACAGCATTGAGACGCTAATGAGGGGGATCTCTGACACGAAGCATCATAATGGCACCCAAGCATTATAATCGATACACAATACATTGTGATGGCCCCACTGGAAAAGTTTGGGGCACTCAGAAGCATATCTCTGCAACACCTACTGTGCTTACATTTCCAAACTTGACTAGGAGCATCAATCTCTCATCCTCCAAGTTTCAACAGGCAGTTGTAGTAGGTTAAAGCAATAGTGCAGTGCACAGAGGCAAAAATACAGTGTGTGAAACTGCATTCCTCAGCCCCTCCCAGCTCCTGTGTGGAGGTCTGGGATCAAAAGTCCCGAAATGTGATGCTTCATCTCATCCCAACTGCAAAAGCACAACCTGCTAGAAGCTGCAAACTATGGAAAGCACATCTGCACAAGAGAAGGTCAGCCATAATTCTTATTTCATGGGGGTGAGATGTCACTTTCAGCTCTGGATACACTTCTCCCTACAACTCATCGGTGGGTGCAGATCACACAGAGGAGCTGCACACACAGTTCTCACCAGCTTACTGTAAATGGTTGCTAAGGCAGCAAGCATTTAGGAAGCAGTAAGCTTTCTGGCACAAACCCTGGTGGCCACAGAGTGTCAAACAGCTCTATAGCTACAGAATATACAGAGACACAGCAGTCATCCCGGCAGACTAAAGCTTCAGAGATCTTGTAGAATTTCTCTTAAAATGCTCTGCATACCTGCTTCATTTCTTGGGGTGTATACAGCATGGTTCGGATAATCATCACTCTGTCCAGCAGATCCCGTGGTAGTCCATGAGGAGACACTATATCCTCTGTGCCTCTGGAGGAGAAACCACACAAAGAGATCTGCTACTAAGAATTCTCAGTTCAGTACATTGATTTTACTAAAATCAGCTGTGATCACACAACTACTAATTTACAATCCTTGTGTTTTTCCACAGAGACACACCCCCTAGATGGAGACAGGAAACATTCTAACTATTCTTAGGGTCATAAGGGAGAGCCTGAAAGAAACAAATACTAATTCTGGAGCTCTTAACATGGCACTCCAAAATGCCTAGAGGCGTTGCTTTCCTTCATGTTTCCCTGCATTGTATCTTACAATACAGTCTTACCTCATGTTCCAAAGTATCTTCCAAGAATGAACAAACCATTCTTACTAAGCTGTTTAGCAGTATCAGTAGAAATTATACACATTATCATCTATTTGGAGAACATCCTCTCTTCCTGAATAAGCCATTAGTCTGTTCAATCCTTTTCCCAGTCCCTCCAATGAATACTGCAGTGGTTTACATTCCATGCCTGCAATCCAGCAAACTGAGAAGTGCAGGTCTGTGCATGCAGGGCAGAGCAGGATCTAGATCCCAAACCACTCTACTTATTAGTGTTCAGACACTGCAACTTGGGCCATGGTCCTCCATTAAGAAATGAACTGAAATGCCCTGCAATCATGTGCTGTAGTCTTGAGTAGATGGTGTTCTCTTCTCTGAAGTGACTCCCTCTCTTAATGAGGTTACAGAATCAACTGTACAATTAATTTTACCATTAATTACAAATTTTTTTTTTAAATGTACAATTTATTTTCCCCTTACCCTTTTAAGATCCATCAGCAGGCAAATCAGAGAATCACTAACTACCTGAGGTACTAGTATACAGTGAGGAACTTGCTTTTTAGGACTTAATTTAACAATATTAGATACAACTATTCTATGGAAATCTTCCTTTCTTACATCATAGTTTTTCCAGAACATCTGTGGTGAATCCCCTGCTGGCATCTCTATTTGCTCTACTTTCCTAAGACAACCTTTTTATGCCTTTGCAAAGAGAGTGCTGCAATGTCCATCTTAAGGTGATAAATTTAACATTTTTGAAGGACTAAGCAATGCCAGCAGAGAAAAATTAATACCAGATGAGCTACTAAGAAGGAAAGGAATAGTTGGTTACGTAGCTGCATTAAATCAATTTAAAGAGTAGCAATCATTGCTAATGACAGCTTGTTTAGACATAATTAGACCTAGACCACAAATTAGCAGTAGAACTTAAGGAAGAATCTGAAAGAGGAGAGCACTTTTACTGAATGTGCAAAGAATGCGTCGTGTGGGTGGAGAATATTGAAGTGGAGGCACGAACTGCAGTGGAGATGAAAAAAAAGTTAGTTGGCATGACCAAAAAAAAAAAAAAAAAAAAAATCACAAAATGCCAGCCCAACATAGCAACATAGCAGGAAAAAATGAAAGGTAGGGAGAGGCTGAACTGTGACATCCTTTAAACAGTAATAACAGGAAGTTTAAGTCTGATGCACTGACGACAGCCAACAGCAAAATGATCCAGAAGAAGCAAGAAACTATGACATTAGAGGATTGTAGCTCTGGTGTTCCCTAATGTGCAAACAACAGATGTGTTGAGATATCCAATGAGAAAGATAAGTGTTACAGATCACCCAGGAAATAAGACAATTCAGAAGCTGTTAGAGAAAGAGGGATGAGGCAGTGGAAATAAAAGAAGGAATTCCATTCTGCTTTAACTCAGTCAGCCTGGCAATAAATGCCTGCTCCATCATGAAGCTCACAAGCAGTTCTTGAGCACTGATGCAGCTTGTAACCTGGGGATTATCACAGATGTCAGTTATCAAGGACAAAAGCCTTCAAAGATGATAACTCTGTTGATACAGCCAATCTCAAGGTTTATGGACCAATGCAAACTGGAAAATTCAGCTTTAGGCCTCATACCTGATAATGCAGTTTCCTCGATTGGAAGCAAAGATGACAATAGGTGAAATAGAAGATTCCAGTGCTCGGTGCAAGTATGTGAAACACTCAATATCCAGCATGTGAACTTCATCTATAAAAAGCACACCTGGGACTAGCTCTGCAATGCCTTGATCAATGTATTTATTTACCACCTTATTGATCTCTCCTCGAAGTTTGTCTGAGAACAAAAAGAAACTGTTAGTTGTTCTGCCAATGAACTGTAGGTCTGTATGAAAGACTTAAAGCAAGTAAAATTCCCCTTCAACTTTTTCATGGTTTGGTAAGTTGGTGCCATAGGGAAAAATCTAAGTGACACTAGAATTCTGTGGCATTCTCTGTATTGGGGAGGCATCTGTGCAACAAAACACCTCTAAACTGAACTTCTGGCACTTCACTGGAGGAGTTTATGCCCTCACATGGCTTGTGGAAAACAATGATTTTTTTGGGTTTGTGGAGTTTGGCAGGGGAGGCAGTCAGACAAACCCCAGTTTAAAGCATGAAACTTGACAAAGTTTCCAAGCACGGCTGAAAAGAACACAACTGATAGAATAAAATACTGCTACTGTATTTCAGCAAAGATGTGTGCAACAATCAAAAAAATAGGGCTCTATAAATTTCTGTGAACACACGGATCTCAAAGCTATGCAAGATGTTACATTGATAAATCCGGCATTAGAATAAGCAAAGTGACCTCTGGAACAGAAGAAATACTTCAAAAGACTGCTGTTCAAGTTAGGTATTGAAACACACTTTGATCTAAATTTAGATAGTCACTTACTGAAACACCATTTCTTTCAAAGCAAAAAAGGAAAACAGATCTGAATAGATCCTTCTGTAGATTTTTTTTTTTCTCCGAAGATCTATATGTAGGAAAAGCATCAGTACACTCAGAGCACCAGATCAACAGAATGCTGCTATAGAGGCGTCCAAACCAAACCAAGGTTGGAGTATTTAGAAGCCATTTTTCTACTCCATAGACATTCAGTACAGTTGCTTCACATAAGCATGCATCCAAAGTTTTTTAGATTGTTTTTGTTGTTGTTGTTCAGTTTGGCTCTTTGTCAAAGTGTGAACCGTACATTCTCTGGCAGGAGTGTTTTGAGGAAAAGGGGTTTTAACCTCTTTCTCCCCAGGAAGATAGGTGCAGAGTACAGGGTATATTTTATCACTCTGTGTGTGAACCAGTAATATATTGGCACTGTTTTCAGCCACTGCAATTCTGGAAGCTCTATCACTGCTTTTTGAAATCTGAATATTTATGAATAAATATCACATAGGCATTTACTTAGAGATAGTGGATGAATAACCCTATTTTTAATCCTTTCCTAACAGGCAAACATATAGATCATATTGGTCAAAAAATACTGGGCAGGATTCATACCAGTAATTTCAGTTTTCTTAGGCTTCATCAATTGTCCCATCATAGAAAGGATGTCTTGACCACCCTAGAAAAATAAAGTTACAGATCAGCTGTGACATCTTGCAGTGAACACCTACCATGAGAATTTTGTAAACCAGGAATTGGTTAGAGTCGTTTCTTGTGGTTAACTTGATATCAGCAGTGGCTGATAATTTTCTGAAGTTAAGGTCACTTCACTGCAGCTTAGCTACCCTCTCACCCATTCTTTGGACACATTTATTTGGAGAACATAAAAAACCCAAATGAGGTATCCTCTTAAAAAAAAAAAAAAGTCAGAGCAGCTCATAAAATTGTTAGGGAACAGAGAGATTTGGGTTGCCTGCACACGATGGGTGTTAAACCTGTAAACACAGAAAGTTCTGAGTTATGCCGAGTTTTAAGAGTTTTGAACACTTTGATTTTTATTGTGTAAATGATTTTGTTGAAAAAAGGATTTTTATTCTGGAGTAGGTTAAGGACTTGTAGTATCATGCTGTAAAGATGCCAGCCTTTAAACAAAGATACAATATTGTTAGTGGTTTTTATTTATCACATAGGTAGAATTCTCTCAATACTGGGCTTAAGATGCAGCAAGGAGTAATTCTGTTTTCATTTTTTTTTCTGCAGTATGTTTCAGAGCCCTGCTGAAAGTCACAAGTAAATTTAACAAGAGGATAGGAAGGAAGCAGGGACATCAAGCAGAGACACATAAACCCTAACCCTATAACCTATATGGCAAGGCACTGAGGTAGCCAACTGCAGCATGACCTCCCTCCAGAGGAGAGGCAGACTGGCCTTCACCATGTAACATCTGCTGCTTTTCCTATAGTTCAGTCTTTGAGGATGATTTAGGACAGCTCAACTTTCTAAATTTCCTTGATTATTCTACTAACTGTCACATCTATGTCAAATCATTTTTCTGTAAAGGCTTATTCTGTGGACTCAGATACCTGAGGTCGAGCATTGGCCACATCCAAGTCATGCAGAGTGACATCCTGAATAATTTCCTTTTTCTTGTGCACATCACCCTTTGGCAAGGGAACATACTCTTCAGCTTCAAGGTCAAATTCCGTAGCATAGATATCACACCTGCCTTGCCTCTGAGGAAAAGCAAAGAAGAGAAACCCAGGTATAGAATTAGTTTCAGTGCCAAAACCTTGAGTGACACGAACTTGATAAAGGGCTTAGTTCACAATCCCAGTCCTGACAAGCTTCATCTGACAACTCAGACATCCCCCTCCCTGCTTCGCAACAGGCATACTCTATCTACTGATCAAAGCTCAAAAACTGTTGAAAAACACCTGATGTTTTCAGTGGTTAGAATATTCCATTCCTCTCTCCCCTTCTTTTAACCGTATGGAGTTTTTGCTAAAGGACAAATCCAGCAGATTAACTAGAGATTGGGAGAACTACTCAAGACTCCTTTGTAGGTGGGTGATTTATTATATGATACAAAATATTATGCTCATCCATTAAACAGCAAGTATTGCTGTATGCTACTTTCTAAATCAGATATGAAAAGAATGCTAACTAATGCAGTATTCCCTTCTACATGTATATATCTTGTGGAGAAAGTACCAAAGCGATAAAAGAAAGATTAAACACACTGCACATGTCAGCCTGGAAATGACTAAAGTTGCTTGGTTTTTCCCCTTCTTCCCTTAAAGATGTCTTGATCTTACAGAAAAAAAAACTCATCCAGACAGCATCAGTGATAGCTTCCTTGCCAGATGACCTTAATTGTGAACCAGATGACCATGTTCTTTCAGTGCAAGAGAGAATTTTCTCTGCAGATAAGGAAAACATTGGGCTCTTTTTAAAACTTCCATGTCACCATTTCATGTCAGTAAGGTTAATAAATTGGAGAGCCTTCTGAAAAAGGCAGAGAAAGGTCTTCAAGAACACAGACACCTGCATAAAAGTGCAGAACTTTTTTCTTTTACCTTGACGGCTCCACTGTTTGCTTCAATGTAAATAACATCACCCGTTTCCACTCGCTCCTTCTGCAAGCTTTCAAATATGCTTGGGTCCAGCTGCAGGCAAGTGAACAGCAAAAGCAGTTGGTCAAAACAGTTCCGTATTGTTATGGTAATCCAGGAAAAGAAACTTAGTCTAAAGCTCACTTCCACCAGAAAAAATTAAACTGCAGCTCCCCCCAACAATACCTCTAGGATTTTATAAAGCTGTAACACTTGGAGTAGTGATACAGAATAAATCTGAAAGAAGACACACAGAACTTACTTTCTTACCAAAAAAAATCTGCTCTCTGAAGGAAGTGACGGTAAGTGGCAGAAACATAATGATACCAGTTACTATCACAAAATATGCCTTTGTGTAATGTGACAATATATTTATACCTAAGAAGCAGCACTTCTCTTGCTTTCTAGCAAAACTTTTATAAAAAAATCTGGCTATAGCATGGAATTATGTTCTTTATTTCCTGTGGAGCTGTGTGAGGGAGAGTGGATGTGGAATACGTTGGATGCTTTTGTTTCTCTCAGTACATGTTTATTCACTTTTGCTCTGCGTCTTATTGTTTTCAGAGTGAACAAATGCAAGATGATACTTAAGGACAGAGACAGCTTTCAGTTCTCTCACGCTCTGACAGGGAAATTGAACAACATGGACAGAGATTTGTGCAAGGAAACAAAGGGAGCCTGGGTCTGAGCTGGCAATGTACCAGCTCAATTTCCAGTTCTCTATCAAATATTCACTAGAACATATCTCCCTATGTAGAAAGAAGGAATGTGACAGAAAGAACAATTTGTACTGAAGCAGGTAAGATTTCTCAAAACCATCCTCAAAAATTCGGTTAAAAATAAGGAACACAAACCCAAACAAGACCTTTCTAATAGATCTACTACTGCAAACATGAATTTATAGCCTGGGTCACAGTGAGCTTATCACAGACTGAGACAGATCATAGTTCAGATTGCTAAGCCCATTTTTCTGTGGTACTGGTAATGCTGCAAAACTGCATCAGGATGTCTTCCTGCTTAAGCTCACTGTTAACTTGTTGAAGACATACAAGTATGTGCTACCAAATGTAAAAAAATACCATGGGCTTCTAACTGAGCAAAGAGTTTACCCCCAATTTCATTTAGCAGGAGACAAGACTAACATCTAAATATTCTATACAAAGCTGATAAACGTCTATGTTCAGGAGTAAGACAAAGCTGTCTAGCAAAAGAAAACAGCCTCCTGGCATCCTCACTCTACAGAGATGAGGATCAAGAGGTTGAAATGGAACTAAGTGCTAAAAAAAGAAGATGCAGACATGAAATATTTAAGGAAATTTTTGAGACTCCACTATACATACCTTCAACTGTTTGGTTCCCTTTGCAGTTTTGAGTCCTATAATTACGTGGCTGATGGTTTTGCCATATCCTCCCATAGGATTTTCAGTCTCACATGGAGTTAGTTCTGTGACTTCTCCTTCATAAACCTCCTTGGTCTCTTTAATCCTCAGCCCTGCCAGAAATTGTTCAGAATAGTTTTAGTACAGACATCAATGGCTGTATATGCTCAGAAATCTACTGCATGACTGCCAACAGAATGTGACGCATTATTAGGCTGCATTACATTTAATGGTAATTTTTTACTTTCAAAAGCAGAAAGATCAATTATTCTCTTTTTCAATATTAAGTGAGAATATTCATCCTGTGTCATCAGAGCAAGAGCTCCAGGCTCCAAGTTCTGACCGCCAAAGCAGCTTATTAAACTCTAAGAAATTATTTTTCTTTCCGTCCATTATTGTTCGTTCTTTAAGCAAACATCTGTATCCTCCCTCTCTTCCCTCCCCCTAACAGGGGCATTTGCTTGATTTATTCCCCTATGCTGAAGGGAGAGAAATGGTTCATCTTCTGAAACTAAAGGTCAGGGACACTAATGTAACTGCAAGTTTTACACAATTTTTGTACCATCAGAAAAGCCCCTCAAAGACAGGAAAATGACAGGAGAAGGAAGTAACTTCATAAAAACCCTGTAAGTTTTAGCAACTGACTTAAAAATAACATAAATTGACTAACAGGTGTTGATTTGGAACATCATAAAATTAAGAAATGGTTAATGCATAATTTAAAATATTTTTCAAGTTAATAGCAAAAGGAATTAGATAAAATTTAGCAGAATCTGCCATAATGATGAATAAAACTATATCAAAATAGCTGACAAATGACATCCTTTGTTGGTTTTCAGGCAGTTGAGCGATCACCATAGTATCTAGGTATCTTCTAGCCACAACTATTGTAATTAGTTATTTTAAATTGATGAATAATATAGAGCTGAGGAGTTTTACAGTGAGACTGTTCCAAAGAAAAAACACCATCACCACCACCACTACAATTATGCAGATGTTCTAACTACATAAAAGTTCAAAGAACCCACATCTGAAGAGAGTCTATAAAGTATTTTATGAGACACACATGCCATACCAAAAATAATGAATGGGCTGTAACAAGATATAAGGAAGTCATCCTGCCCAGTCTGAGGCTATTAGGACTTTATAAAACTTTCCTTGTTCCATAACTTTTCATTTTGCTTTGAAATAGATCAGACACTTCAGCAGTAATCTTGAGCTGCTGATAGGGGAATATAAAGAACTGACAAGAATGAGTCTGTCTCCCTCTACTGGACCCAAATTAAGACTAGGATTTGAAATGCGACCAAGTAGGTTAATTGTGGATAATGTTATAATTTCTTAGTTGCCATCTCTTATTTACCACTATGTAAAAAGTTCTAGACAAAGTTAATTTCAGTAATTGTTTAAAATGTTTTTCAGGTACACCAAATCATCAGACAAAAATAATTAATGAACCTCTGAGTTATAAAACCGACCTAGACAAGTCTGCATCACACAGGCTACATATGCAAGGAATACAAAGCAACATGGAACTGCTGGTAGTGAGAAGTGGACATTCAGAGGTTTGTTTTGCCTTTTTATTTTTGCCTATTTATATTTTTACTTTATTTGCTATTTTGTTTTTGAACTTTCAACACAAGTTTTATTCTGCTCTGAAACACTGGAAGCCCGCTCGTGTTTGGGGTACGTTTTGTATCCTGCTAGAGCAGACCTTCCAGTTTCATTTCATCTGGAATGAATGCAGTTTGTGTGCTCAGAGCCTGCTCCACAATGCAAACCAAAACAGACTTGGCAAGGACACGCTAGAGATTTGCTTCAAAAGCACACCTCTCATCTACTGTGCTCATATAGATGTGCTGGAGAAAATATTTACAGATTAACATGATCTGAACAAAGGTAATCGATGCTTTGAACTGGCTGCTGATTATCCTTTGTTTTCAAATGAATCTGCATGTATTAACTATGGACTTCATTCTCAAAAGAGCTCTTTAACAAAGACATTTCCTACTTACAAATCAGAGGCACAGCCTAAGGCAGCAGTTGTGGGCTGTTTCATGGGTTGGTTCAATAGTTCTATATGGAGTTAAATAGTGCTTGTTTGATTTACTGGCAGTTACAATTGGGAGACACAGGGAACAGATATGCTATCTAAGCGGTTATTCCTGTAGTTATTTTTCACTGCAACTGAGCTCTAACATTAGCTACTGTCATCATCGCTGCCAGCTGCTAATAAGCTCTATACAAGATAAATTTCTCTCAGCTGAAGATTTTTTAACCCATACAACAGTTTCATCTTCTCATTTCCCACTCTGTTCTTCCACGTTTCCCCAGTATCATAAACTCTCTACTATAAACCAATACCCTAAGCAGTATTGGCCAGGAGCCTATGTCAAGTCTGATATTTAAAAATTCTGTAAACTTGGGGTCGTTCCAGTTTCCTAATATAGTGATGGGTCCAAACTAGTCAGACTCTGTTGTTCCCAAGACCAATAAAAAAAAAAGTTAAAAAAATTTTATGTTAACACCCCAATCATTGTTATAAATTGACTTGCCTAAACCCTCTGAAATAAAAATGCACAATATGAGCAACAGATTATTTCTATAGAACTTGCTAAAGAAGGAATTGTACTCCTCCCTGAAGAAAACACATCAAAACAAACCCAAACACAAAAAGAAACCTAAATGAATACTTGAGGTACTGGCTGCCAGGTGAACTGAAGCTTCTCTTGGACCCATTCACAGCTGATGTTGCACTGTGCATACAAAATAAGATCTTTTAAGATGTACCCTTGTAAATTATTTATTTACCAGGTACAGAGCAAAACCGTAAGTGAGATTTAAACATGATTGAAAAATGTTCCATTATGAGAAAAAGCAGTTACTAGTCCTTCGAGATATTTCAGAGATTTTTTTTTTACGCTGATAAAAATATTCAATAAAGACTGTGTTATGAAAATGTGACATGGAATTCAACAGAAAGGAATAAAAGAAGTTCCATCTTTCATTAACACCAATATTTGTTTAGAAGTGGCTCTCCATTGACATTCAGAGAATGCAGGGAACTAACAATGTAGCTGGCTGTTAAACCTCAGAGAGTTAAAATGCTGCTGTCTCTAGAAATGACAACATGGACGGTGCAAGTTTCATCTGTTGGTTCAGGTTTCCAGATCTCTGACAGGGAACTTCATCACATCAAGGAAATATTGCAGACTACTCAAGTCTCTGGCTTCCCTCCCCCAGGCCCTGCCAGCTTCATGGTAACTAGAAGACTAGAGACAACTGAGAGTTGCTTTCTTATAAAAGTCAATGGAATACTTTTGTTTCACTGCAGAACTGAGACACTTCTTCACCTTACTGCCATCAAATACTCAGATGAAGTCCAAGGGTAAACGTGGTAAAGAAATCAGGAAAATTAACTGTTAATGCCTTCAGAACTAAAATCAGTTAAGCTATCTTTAGCCAATCCTCATAGAAAACAGAGCCACTTCTAACTGCGTTTATCAGCTGTCAGCAGCCATCATATAAGAGATTTTAGATACTCACTGAGGTTGCATTGCAAATTTAACCAATTTACATCAAGCTTGTGAAAGCACTCTAGAATTCGGGAAGACGTTAAGCTAAAGTATTTATTTTGTTGACATGCAACTCTCTTTGTGCTTGCTGGAACACTAAGTCAGGCTCACACTACCATTTGGGAGTCCCTGAATAAGACTGTTCACTTAGTAGGGTGAAATCACCAGAATAAAAAAAGGAGAGCTCTTTTCCTGTCTACAAATATTTCTGCCAAAGTAAGAAACAAAATATTTTTTCTTTCAGCTTTATTCAGAGTCACAGGCAAAACCAGATGAGCCTGGAGGAGAAAAGGAGAATGTGAGGAAACAGAAAACCTGACTCCACTAAGTGTGGAAGAGATTCACTAAATGAAGAAGCAGCACTAAAAAAGAGAACATAAAATAATCTGAAAACCACCATGACCACTGAGAACTTTTTTGTTTTTAGATGACTGGGAAAAAGCAAAATAAGTATCATGCTAATACGTAAACTCTTCTGTTTTCTTGAAACTTACCAATTGCACGTCGGAAGTTTTCCATTAGAACTTCTGTCTTCTTGATCTCGGTGGAATAGACCTCACTCCCCACCATAGGGCAAAAGGGGACTTTACTTCCCAGCTCCTGAGCAATAGCTAAAGCCAGAGCAGTCTAAAACAAACAAACCAACCAAAAACAAACCCTGCACATTAGTGTTTTCTAGAATTAACAAAGGGTTCCTTCTGCACAAAATTACCTTCCCTCAGCATATCTCCTTCCATATATCAACTATCAATCTAATATTAGGACTATTCTGTCTGACATATATGTGAGAAATAAAATAACCCTTCTCCCCTCAGAACAAGTTAGACACACATAAAGTGACTTTTATCAAAGACTTATATCTTCAAGAAACAATACTGGGCATCTGAATTTGACACCTGATACAAATGCAAAAAGGCTTAAATAGCATGTGAAAAAAAACCAAACAAACCAACCACAAAACTAAAGCAAAAGCTATTTAAGCTTTTAATACAAACTTAAGTTCCAAGGCTTTCTGGCAGTGACCTTGTCACCTATACACTTGGTAACCTAGAAGAGGTGGTTTCACACTTAATGATGCCTGAACACAGCACTGGACTGTGCCAATGTTGATGACATGTCAAAAATCAAAATATAAAGTAAGAAACCATGTCAATAGATTGACAGAAAAAATTTCAGTAGATGAAAATGTGATGTGACGACTATCCTAAAATGGCTATGGTTTTAACAACAAATAAAAACAAAACAGACTTGGGAATACTTTATTTCATATTGAAAAAGAAAAATAATACCTTGCCAGTTCCAGGAGGCCCGGCCAACAGCACAGCTCTGCCAGCCATTTTCTTGCTTTTGATTAGTTCCACTATAATCCCACAAGCCTGTAAATTAAATAAGTATTTACACCATTAACACAAGCATGGCTATGATATCTTTTGTTCCAATACAATTGTGGTTAGAAATATTGGGGTTTGTAAGCCTATTAAAAATTAAGAGGATTTCAATTTCCTGTAAACAAAAGGGGAGGCAATATCAGAAAAACCTTATTCCTAAAATCACTTTATCTGACAGATACTAAATATATTAAAAAAAAGAAACCCAGAGGGAACAAAACTCAGCCTAAGAGCACAGACTCCTTTCGTCGTCCTGGAGTTCCCTGTGTATAGAAATGTTTAAAAATAACGCAGGAAATAAATCTTTGCCTCTCAGTACAGCCGATCAGGTAAAGCACCGGCCCAGGGCCAGACACCGGCACCAGACGGAAGCTCCAATCCCAAAACCTGCCCCAAAGCTCTTGACTTTTGGAAGGTTTCGCTGGCTTTGACGCGTTTCTGCGCCCGAAGC